AAAAAAAAAAAAAAACTTGAGCAATTAATTCCCCACTTAACTTTGCCTCTCGCTCTTTTTCTTTCCTAGAATGGTCTCCTTGCTCATTTTCAATCCTATGATCTCCATTACCTGTGCTATTCAAAGTTAACCTCGTCTTAAGAAAGCTTCTCTAGCTATCCCAGTGTATAGCAACCTCCCATTTGTCACAACTTGTAAAACTATGCTGTGTTTGCATCCCTCATTTAACACCTAGCCAATGCTGTTATTGTCTTCTCTATCCATCTTTCTTCCCAGTCTTCCCAGAATAAATGTAATTCAGACTACAGGTAAATATCTCAGTATAAATGCTGAATTCAAAAAATTGTTTACTACCAATATTTAAAAAAGCAGTGCATGTAATTACGATTAGCACACATAACGTACGGGGTGCGCACGGGGAAGGCAATATAGCACAGAGAAGACAAGCAGTGACTCTATAGCATCTTACTATGCTGAAGGACAGTGACTGTAATGGGTATGTGGTGGGGACTTGATAATGGGGGGAATCTAGTAACCACAGTGTTGCTCATGTGATTACATATTAATGATACCAAAAAATAAAAATAAATTAATAAATAAGAAAATGTAAAAAGCGTGAAAAAGAAAAAAAAACCAGTGCATGCAATCCAATTTTTAAAAACACTACCACCTCATACTGACATGTTGCTTTATATATTCAAAGAACTTTTTGGTTTCATTAGATCATACTGTCCTTATCAAATATGAAGAATTGAGTATTCTTGCTTATGTATTTTTTATTGAAGTAGAATATCTGCCTCAATATTTTACATAGAAAAACTGAGATTCAGAAAAAGTGTAAAGGCAAAATTACTGAAAAGCTTAGCGCTTTTGTCAATGTGTTTTATTGCCTCTCCTGCTAACTTTTCAGAGAGAAAGCTTCATGTTAATAGTTATGGTAACAATAACAGTAATAGCTTTTATTTATTGTATGTTTACAGTATATGTGGCTTTGTAATAGGCATTTTATAGATGTATTATCTCAAAACTCAAAACAATTCTGGCAGGTAGATTTTACTATTATCTTTATTTAATAGATGAGGAAATTGGAAATCCGGAGAATTTAATTAATTACCCAGGTCATACAACTAAGCTGCAGAGCTCAGATTTTAACACAGAAGTTAATGTCTACAGAGTACAAGTTCTTCTCCACTTCTAGTCTAAACAGTAACTAGTTTAAGCAGTGCAGTTCAAAGGTGATACTTTATAAGTATGTAACTCAAAAGTGGACCTCAAGATTAGTTTCAAATACAGACTGTTTCAGGAGTTCACACTGAAATAATTGGTATTATTCTCAGTAAAATGAGCTACAATATATCACAGAAGAACCTTAATGAAGAAGAAAACTGGTCTCACTGCTTTTTAAATAGCTTGTTCCAACCTCTCAATATCAATAGAATTTAGGAAAAGTTTAAACTTTATTAATATAGTACAGATATTCTATACAGAATTTAATACTATCGACTTAGATATTTACTTTAAAAGGGAACAATAAATTCTAAGCAATTTTATTCAGAAAGACAGGTACTAAGTTAACATGTTAGTGGTAAAGTAGTGTTCAGACACAGAGACCTCAGTTCCACCACTGAAAGCTGTGAACCCTTAGGGAAGATAAAGCATCTCCCTGAGCCTATTTCCCTATCTACAGAAGTGAAGATAAACAAATTCTTACTTTTAATGGCTGTTGTGAGGACAGCCTGACAAAACATACACTTAGAAAATAGCAATTGTTATTACTGACATTTTATTATCACTAAGAGATTAAAAATATTTCAGCTAAAAGAACTTAAGAGGGTCCATTAGCTTTAAATAAGAAGGTATTTATGGTAAAGGAAACATCACGTTCCAAGACAAACCTTTAAATTTTTAAAAAAATCAAAGTGAAAATAAAATAACCTACCACCAGTTTCCATTTATAATTGCCATGATTAATAAGCTTCCCCATAAACCAAGCTACTTCCATGTCCATTTTATTCTCTATTAACAAGTTATTTTAATATTTTTGACCATTTAAGAAACTACAACAAGTTAGAACCAGAATTCGATTTAAGGTCGGGACCAAGTTAATACAAATAAACCAAGTAAACAAAACTGCATTTTGCTATCAATCATCAGACTGTTTTTACATTTGAGCCTGAACAAAGTCACTGAAATTAAAATTTTCAAAACACCTCAATGCAATAATGACTTTGAATTCCATGACTCCACGGCAATATTAAATAAGAAAGTTGGCCTCTGCATCATTTCAACAATGTAAGTTTGTCAAATAATCTACCACCTAACAAATTATGGAGCTGCAAGCTGACTACATTTTACAGTGTAGCACTCTTACTTAAGGTAACACACACACTCCTAATAAAAAGTCTATAAATCAGTATTTAATGGAATCTCTCAAAATGCAACAGGAGAACTAAAAATGAAATTATCCTGAAGCAAAAGTTTTGGTAGAGTGACACATCATTTCATCTACCCTTCTGATGATTTCATTTCAGAACATAATTCAGTCACAATCACATGGTAGCCATGTTAATTTAAATGTTTATGCTGTTACAGGAAGAATACATCTGGCAACTGCTGTTATTTCTTAATTATTTTAACCATTTCATTCCCACCACCTGTTCATAGTAATGCATGATTTGAGGCTTGAAGGCATTTAATTTCCTCAACTGTTAACATCCTCTTGATTTCACTAAGACTAAAGTTTTTTGGGAAAAACAAACACGAACTATTATCACAGTGTTTTATACTATAAGGCTTTAATCTTAACTTCTTCTGAAATCACAGTGAAAATAAAATAACCTACCATCAGTCTTCCACTTGTAATCACCGTGGCAATAGCCTTCTTCATAAACCAAGTTATTTCCATGTCCATTTTATTTTCCATTAACAAGTTATATTAAAGTTTAACCTTTTTTTGACCATTTTGTTTGACCGTTTCATTTGAAACTAAAGCAAGTTTGAACCAGAAATTCAAAACAGGCTGAGACCAAGTTAATACAAGTAAGCAAAGGAGAGCAAAAATTTTAAAAAACTAAGGGGATTATGCTTCAATAAGCTTTAAACTATCTGTAATTTTCTTATCAACAGAGGACATGAAGTATTATTCTAAAATACTGTTAAAAAGTTTGAAAACATTTTTAAATGACAGCTTGCATCAAACACTTTACAACTGTACATGATAATACCTTATTATGCTGTATTTGAACCACTCACCAAAGTTCGGTCAGGTTCTCCGTCTCCCAAACCTGCCTCCATAGTGAGAGAAGATGAGTTTACACTTCTCCTTCCATTAATGTTCATCCATACTGTAAATCTGGAAATCCTAGAAAAAAAAGATCATATGTATCAAGACTAGTAATTATAAAATTATGATAAGCTATCATCAAGATAGCTATATTAAGAGAGAGAAATCATTTTCGGCTGAGGTTACTGGGAAATCCAGTGATGGTAAAAACTGATTTTGACACAATGGACATTGAAGAATGATAAAGGTTCATAGAAAAATGGAAGAAGAAAAGAAAATATTCCAAGTGAAAAGGAACAGCAAGAGCAACGTTAAAGATATGAGACTGTTCAAAATTTGAAAAGATCCTTAAGTCTACTTATATTAAGGAAATAACATCAGGTATCTTTTTTTTTCCTTATTACATTGGCAAAAACTAAAAAGTGTGTTAATATCCAACACTAGTGAGAATGCAGGAAAACAGGTATTCTCATACACTCTTGTGGTAAGAATATAAATCAGAACAATTCTGGGGGAGGACAATTTAAAATACATATGCTTTAGTCCAGCAATTTCAAGATTAGTAATTATCCCACATATATACTTACACAAATGCACAAAGATACATAAACACATACAACAAATAAATATGATGAGAAAAACTGGAACCAACCTTAATGTCAATCATCAGAAGCTTGCTTAAATTATATTATAGACATAAAATGGAATATAACGCAGCAACTTTTTAAGATGAGGTAGATCTTTATACACTAAATTAGAAAGAAATCTTTCTATTTTATTTTTCAACTTTTACAATGGACATGTATTACTTTTGTGCTTATTTTTGTTTTAAAAAGCCTTAGAAGTATGTCTTCATCAGAAGTCTTTTTCTTTTGAACTTTTTAACTAACAAAACCTCCAAACTGAACTCCTATAATAGTGCAGTTGACACTTAAAAAACACATTTGAACTGAGTGGGTCCACTTATGTGGATTTTTTTCAATGAATATAGTGGAACATTATTAAAAATTACTTACAATTTTTAAAACTTGCAAATGAGCCAGTAGCCTAGAAATATCAAAAAATTTAAAAGGTTAAGTGTATCTTGAATGCATAAAATATATTAGGTGCTACTCTATTTTATCACTTGCTATCCTAAAATACACACATTATAAAAAGTTAAAATTTACCAAAACTTATCACACACTGTACATGGTGCCATTCAGTGGGGAGAAATGTAAACGTAAAAATGCAGTACTAAATCATAGTTGCATAAAATTACAGTGCCTTTTGTACAATTGTAATTATTTCATAGCCACCTTCTGTTGCTGTTGCCAGTGAGCTCAAGTACTGCAGTTCATCTCTCCAGTAAATTGTGTATTGCAGTAAAAAGTGATTTCCCACATTTCTCTTCTATTAGTGCAATACTGTAAACCTATCTGGGATATAACAAGTTAAAAGAAATACATATTTCCCAGATATATATGGCTTCATCCACAGCTCCTGAAAACACTGCAGTCTTAAAGGTGTTTGTCATGTTAATGAGACTTTTGGAACCCACCCAAGGGGCAGGGCTGGAGGCTGTATCAGCCAATGGCCAATTATTTAGTCAAACATGTCTATGCAATGAAGCCCTCACAAAAACCTGAGAAGAGCTTCTCTCTCTCTCTCCCTCTGCTCTGCTCGGTTGGATCCTGCTTCTCAGTCGGAGAGAGCATCTACACTTGGGGAACTAGAACCCCTCCACATGCCACGGAACCAGGCCCAAGCTCCACGAGGACAGAAGCTCCTTTATTTGGGACGTTGCCCTCTATCTCTTCATCTGGCTGTTAACTTGTACCCTTCACAGTATCCTTTATTAAACTGGTAAACGTAAGTGCTTTCCTGAGTTCTGTGAGCCGCTCTAGAGAATTAAATGAACCTAAGGGGGAGGTTGTGGGAACCTCCAATCTGTAGCCGGTCAGTGAAAAACACAGGTAACTGCCTGGGGCTTGAAACTGGTATCTGGAGTAGGGTGGAGAGCAGTCTTGAAGAATGGAGCCCTTAACTTGGGGAATCTGGTGCTGTCTCCTGACAGAGAGCATCAGAATTGAGCTGAGTTCTCGGACACCCTGCTGGTGTTTGAGAATTGCTTGGTGTTATGTGTAGAAAGACACCCCCTCCCACATATTTACACACATTGGAATCGCGTCTGGGAACCTGGAGTTATACTACTATTACTGCTGTGTAATATTGCTATTGTTATACATATATGTAGGTAAAAAAGACATCTGAGCATTTGATGTTGGATGAGAGGGAATTAACACTATGCTACACAAGAACTGCAAGACATTTGAACAAAGTGCTGTGGGAGCTTACAGAAGTCCAAAGTTCTTAGGGGTAAGGGTATAGTTTAGAAGTCCACTACTGCCAAATGGCTGGCATTTTAAAATACAGAACTACAACCAAATGATAAACACCAAAATATTATGTAAATTTGATATATATATCTGTTCTCCAACCCTTTGAGAAATTATTCATAAAAGGCATAGGACAATTACTTCTACCCTACTCGGCTAAGCAGGAAGAAAAATGACCACTAAATGATTTACTATCCTTCCACCTTCACTGGAAACATGCAGGAACTTGGTTTTGAAATCACACAAGAAGATGTGGGTCATCATGATTAACCCTCTGGCTTTAATCTTTTTTGTCTGAGGACTTTATCTTTCTCCAGTTCAGATAAGTTTTCTTCTGCTCTTTTTGTTATTTCTTCCTTTGAATTCTCGGTTCTTTCTTGCTAGAATTTGTATTTGGCAAATGTTGAACCCCCGTGTTTCCTGATTTCCATTTTTCATTTCTACTTTTGTGTTCTACATTGTGAAGTACTTTATCAACTTTATTTACTATATCACCAACTTGTCTTTCATCTGTTTTTTTGTCATTGATTTTTTACTATCCACTTACTTTTTGTCATTGATTTTTTAATTTAAAGAAAAAAAAGACTTTCTTACTGCCTGATTGCACATTAGTGTGTTCTTGTTATGGTCCTAGTATTCTTTTAAATCTTCCCAAGAATACAAGTCAGCTTTGAAGTGCTCTGCTGTTCTGGTACTCTCTGTCCAGGGAAACATCTCATTTCCTCTGAAGTTTCTGCATCTTGATCCTTCTGTTTTCTGCTGCTGGTTTTCTTCAAGTGTCTTCTTGAATTTCTTTTCATTTCCTTCAGATAACAGAAGTGGAATTGCTGGGTCATATGGTAGTTTCTAATTTTTTGAGGAAACTCCATACTGCTGCACAATTTACATTCCCACCAACAGTGCACAGGGTTCCCTTTTCTCTATATCCTTGTCAACACTTGCTATTTCCTGTCTCTTTAATATTAGACATTCTAACAGGTGGGAGGATGTATCTCATTGTGGTTTTGATTAGCATTTCCCTAAGGTTAGTGATATTCAGCATCTTTCACCTACCAGTTGACTATCTGTATGTCTTCTTTGTAAAAATGTCTATTCAGACCTTCTGCCCATTTGTAAAAATCAGATTATTTGGGTTTTTTTCATGTTGAGTTCTTTCATATTTTGGATATTCGCTTCAAGGTATATGATCTGCAAAGAGTTCCTCCCTTCAGTAGGCCACTTCTTCATTTTGTTGATGGTTTCTTCTACTGTACAAAAGCCTTTTAGTTTGACATAGTCCCACTTGCTTTTGTTGCTTTTGCTATCAGATTTTAAAAACTCATTGCCCCAAGATCTATGTCAAGGAGTTTTCTGCCTATGTTTTCTTCTAGGAGTTCTATGGCTTCAGGTCTTACATTCAAGTTTTTAATCCATTTTGAGTTAATCTTTTTTCTTTTCTTTTCTTTTTATTTTTACTCCTATTTTTTAACAACAATAAAATTCTGTATAGGGGGGTCAATGCTCAATGTACAATCATTAATCCATCTCAAGCCTAATTCTCGTCAGTCTCCAATCTTCTGAAGCATAACGAACAAGTTCTTACATGGTGAACGAATTCTTACAGAGTGAATAAATTCTTACATGGTGAACAGTACAAGGGCAGTCATCACAGAAACTTTCGGTTTTGATCATGCAATATGACCTATAAACCATCAGGTCAAATATGAATATTCATTTGATTTTTGTACTTGATTTATATGTTGATCCCACATTTCTCCTATTATTATTATTATTTTTATTTTTAATAAAATGCTGAAGTGGTAGGTAGATGCAAGATAAAGGTAGAAAACATAGTTTAGTG